CACAACATCACCTGGAGATGTACTTGAATGACTTGAATGTCAATATAGATTCTACAGTAGCGAAATCATAAAAATTTCACGTGATTTTAAAGACAATCATGCCATGTGATTTGCACAAATTTAACATACGTATTTAAAGCACAGTATTATGCATATTCCATGACGTGAAAATGGCGAACTGTACTAGTTTAGCAAGTAATTCCAATACTCAAGTAAGCGCGTCCAACCTTCATTTTTCCTTTAAGAATTAACAAATGGTTAAAAATTTTGGTCTTTTACGTTAGCAACCGCTGTTTATTGCGAAAATTTCAGATACAAAAATATTCGGAAAACTCTTGAAAGCCATTGTAACTAAGAATAAAGTAATTTAAAACTCTTTTGACGATTGTAATAAGACATTTTCGCGTTAATCAACACAATTCATAGCTTTTGTGCCTTAAAAATAGGATGCGCACCTGTTTATTAATGGAGAGGAACTAAGAATTCAAATTTCGTCTTTAAACTTTTTTCACAGTTAGTACTCTTTATAACTATCAAATTGGTTTATGTATCCATTTCTAATCACATGTATATTCTCATATTAGAAATTGCCATCATAAAAAGACAGCAATTTTTGCATTACGAATTTCGGTTCAATCGAGAAATTCATCTTCCATTATTCGGAGAAGCATTTTTAGAATCCTTAACAATGTTTCACTCGGGCCGATTTTCTTGTTTAAATGATGATCAAAAAATAACTTGGATCCTTGAGATCCGATCATTATATTCCCCACTTATTGTGACGTAGGTGTCCATTTTGCAATAATTAATTTACTTTGAAAAATTTTATTAATTTTTTCCTTTTGTTAAAAGTATTGATCAATCTAATATTAAGACAACATGGACACTTGAACGACTTGAATCTGCAAAACCAGAAAATCCTCGCCTTGATGAAAATCTTGTAATAAAATTTGCGGTGGCGGTAATTAATAATATTATATATATATCATTTTAAAAAAAAAAACAAAATTATTTTCTTGTTTACTAATTAATTAAACTTTTTAGGGATCTAATTTCAAAAAGTACTTTAAAGACATTAATCTATTCGGTCGTACGTTTACTCTTGAACATAGATCTCAAGATAGAGGGTCATTTGCTCGGATTAAAACATCCGACGTATATGGTGAAAGCGAGGCAATATTTGAATTTGATTTATAATGTGAATACATATTGGAAAAATGTCCTTTAAAGTTTGTTAAATGAACTTAAATAGGTCGCAATTGCTCATGATTCCGCGGTATACCATAAGATTTATGTACCAAATTTTAGTTTTAAGTATGTCATAAATTATGCTTGGCGTTTACCAAATGAGAATTTAAAATAATTTACTTGTTTTTATTTGTGCAGTTATAATAATAGGTTCCTTGCCAAAGAGTTTGTAAGAACTGCTGCAGATACCGCAAGTGTAGATATCGAAATAGATATTCATGGTGTCTTACATATCAATGTAAAATGACTTTTCATCAAATAATCAAAAACTTTTTTTATTATTATTATTAATTTATAATTCATTTATTGATTTACAAATTTAGATTGATCGTATCCCTGGATTTGTTGGTAAAAGTGGAGGATTTAAATTGGATTGTTGGGTATGTATTCCATCATGTTAATATTCACACTCTTACTTGTATTGTACACTAATTTTTATATTTAATTATAGCTTGTTGCAAATGATGAATAAATATTTCGGCTATAATAGCTTATTTAATTACGACTTAAATATAATGGGTATGAATACAAAAACACTCCTGGGTAATTTGATGAAAGAAAATATAATTTGAGTAGACTGCATAACCAATGTTGATCAAGCTTTAAATTGTTGGTTAAGATAAAAATGCATTTCAAAACTAATATGTTGAACCATCAATAAAAAAAAAAAATGCTTTTATTAATAATTGTAATAAGGGATTTTATTTGTCATAAAATATATAAATTTCATAAATTTTTTTGAAATATTCTCAATATTGTCTTGACAGCTAACGGCATGTAAGCAAGATATTGTACGGTCGCGCGACGATGTTCAATGATCTAAATTGATTGATTTTTCTAGAGAGCTTACTAAGCTCACGAAAAAAGATTTATTTAAATCAGATCATTAAACGTAACAAATACCTGTTTGCTAGCAAATATTTGAATTTGTTTTTAAAAAAATTTTTATAGTTTTTAATATTTCTCGTAATTTGCATTTAAAGCTCTATTGGTCATATTTTGAATGGGAAAGTTAATAATTCTTAATGATATACATCTTGGTTATAGTTAATAGTTAAGAGGTAATTCATGATTAAAAATTATAAATTTTATAATAATCATATGGTTTTTTTATAATACAAGAATGCGATTGTTTTACGTATAAAAGTTATTTTCTATCATTCTAATTAACGTTGAGAGCTCGTTAAGATGATTCTAATAGTAGCAAATCATTAAAATCAGTCTGGTAAATCGCGAAATATGATGGATTTTTTGATTTTTACTATTTGTTTTTGCTTATTACCAGAATCCACCTCTATTTGAAGCTAATAGTAAATTGTGCCGCATTTAACTACAAAATTTTGACCTTTGCTGCGAACTACCTCTAATAATTTTATCAAATTTTATTATAATTATTATTATTATTGTAAACTTTATATATAATATAAAAAATTTGTTAAACCATCGAATACAATATTGCATACAAATTATTACAAGTCCTGAGTAATTGTCTATAATATAAATTATTTTGTTTATAAATTAGATTATTTACTGTAAATAAATTGTATCTGATTATTTTTAAAGTTTATAATTTATAAATTATTAACATAGATTTGTTAATTGATTTGATTCTTTTTTCTTTAGTTCATTAAGATGACTAATAGACAAAACTAATTACTGTATATAAAAATTAAATCTTTTATTGTTAATGTGTAACTGAGACAAATAAATATTAAAAGTTAGATTGAAAAGTTATAGATAGTAAGCAATATGTTTTAGAAAAGAATTATAATGTTTTTATTATGCTTCAAAATAATATTTTTAGATTTTTATCACAACAATAATTAGTACATATTACCAAATGATGACTGAGAAAATTTTTCAAAAATTCCAGGTTTAGAACATTTATATACAAAAACAGAGCAAACTTATTAAGGTAGACAATCGCTTAGAGACGAAATGATCTATGATCGATTCGATTCTCTCATTGAGAGAAATAGAATGATATAAGGATTTCTCGAATCTAGTTATTGGATGTTATTCCAGTTATCAATATCATCTTCGTCATAATACTCTCCTTGCTATACTATTCAGATGAAGGTATTTTGTTAAAATTACTCTTACTCGCAATTTCAATTACATTTACTAGATTTACGACATCTATAATAGTTATCTAATACTATTCTAATAAAGGTTATATTTATAGTTGTAAGAGGTTTCGCGATGACCAAACGCAAAACCTAGATTTCGTTTTTCGTTGCCAAAACTGACGAAAGGTGATGAAGCTGATGGAACTGCAAAGGGCGTCAAAACTAATAAAAGATGATATACAGATAAATGTTGTTGAATGAAACTTATTGAAGATAATGTGAATAAAAATATAAAAAATTTTATTGTATAATAGGCACTTGCTTGAAGGGTGTTAGAAATGAGTATTCTATATTGTATTATACTAGTACACTACATATCAGTTCTGATGAGAAATCGCTTGATGCTTACTTTGTGGTCTTACTATAGCTTTTTAACAACTTATCTATAGCAGCCCTAGCGTTACTCAGAAAAAATGAACTAGATTATTTTGCTGACTTACATGTGATTTCGGATACTGATCTTTATAGAATTATGAATGTTTATTCAATGAAAATACCATTTTTTAGAATTTCGTCATTTTAAGTTTACTTTTTTTTTATAGTTTCGTCATTTTAAGTTTTTTTTTTTGAATTTCGTCATTTTAAGTTTAGGGTTTCGTCTTTCGTCATCACGCGAAAAAGGTTACGTCTAACAACTATAGTTATATATTACTTAAAGTTTGTCAAAATCACTTTTATTCACAATTTTCTATCAAGGGATAACAAATGTTTTCTATTTTCAATTTGCGAAAAAATGCTTTGAACCGTTTTTATCAAAAAAATGAGTGACGCGCGAAAGGAAACTAGACATTGGGCTTTTAAATTTATAACTTGCTGGACTCAATTCTATTCAAGGATTGAGCTTGTAAGTTATATGTTTAAAATCAGAAGCTATTTTCCCTTAACATCATTCAATACATGTTTCTAATATACTAAGGATTGTTAACTTTACAGTCTACACCAATTTCTGCGAGCAATAGATAATTGATAATATATCTTTACGTAACAAGGCATGATATTTAAGAAATTGCAATGAAGATATTTAGAATTCTTTCTCTTACACTTTCTCCTTACCTCTTTATAATGCTGATTTTTTACGATATTGAATTTTCATGATATTAAAAGACAATTTATTGCATGATTATAACCAATAGAAAGTTTTTAAGGATTATATTTTTCCAAGGTCCTTTAGGAAACGTAGAAAGAAGAGCATAATAGTGACCTATCATTAAGCATAAGAACGGGAGCAAGTTTCTCTTTGATCGCGACATACAGTATATTCCTTATTTTCTACTCCCCTAAAACAAATTATAAAATTATAACGCCTTGATATTCAAGCTTTCTATTCTATTTTTAGACTCAAGAGTTCACCATAACTTTGTTATAGAACAACATCTTAATTTATGTTGGTAATCTTTTAGAACGTATCATATCATGTGACATAAAGTAAGTCGTAAGATAAGTGTAAGGATTTCTAACCCGTTATCGCGATATATGACCATTAAAGTACCTCATTATTATCTTGGGTAGATGATAAATGATCCCTGTGAAGGAGGAATTCTCACCGATTCAATACAAGGTAATATTTTAACATAACGCGAAC